ATAAATATTTACAGTGGGAGAGATGAGATTAAAACCCTCTAGCCTCCTCTCATGACATCTCATGGTGTTTTTTTTTTTTTTAATTTGTTGTATGGTTTTATTTGGAGATCATTCCAAATTAAACTGCTATGTGAAAGTTAGTTCATGCTGGCAGCTGGGCTTTTTCCTAAGAAAACCTCTCTTGAGAATACTTGCCCAAAATGGACACAACATTTGGTATTAATCTCTTCTCCCAGTCTGCATTTAAGTCACATAGTTCCTGCACGGCCTGAGATAGTAGCTTTTAACAAAGATTTATCACTATATGAAAGTTCGAGCTGTGCTGACTGTTACCTGTATCTATGTCGTTTCCTTAAAGAGCTGTCAAAAGATAAGGATACGCATGACTGCAGAGATGCTTTGTTTGAAGATGAAGAGCTGAAATGTAAGTATAAATGATAAAGAGGCAAATAGTAGCAAACTGCACACAGCATAAATCATCTGTGATCATCAGAGCCTTGATTCATGGCTGGTTTATTTAGTCCCTTGCTTCAACAGACAGAGGCTTCAAGAGAAGTACAGCCTCCCATTCTCTGTCTTGCAAACTCACCATCATAACTCATTGTGTACTGGGAGTTATATCAAATAATTAATCGGGGTTTAAAAATAAAAAGAAAAACGATGTGAAGGAAAATGTGACGTGGAGATATATAACAGCCCAAATTAGTCTTTTCTCTAGCTCGTACTTTTGCTACAGAAACAGTTGTGCCAGCACAACTGAAGGAGTGGTGATGGCAATGGGTAGGGAGACCTTAACCCATCACGGCCACTCAAGCAAGTCTCAAGCTGTGAGATTCTGTCTCAGCAAAGCAAGAAAATAAATGACCAAATCGCTGAAATCTGTGAAACATACTGTGGTATGGAACAGAAGGGTGAAGTCATTGAGGGTTTTCTTTCATGTTCTTGCTGACTTCTAAAGCACTTACATTAATTACATCCCGAATCCCTCCCTGCTACACTTTACTGGTGTAAACATAAACAAAGGTAGGCTTGCTGGTCCTGCAGGTATAGATCTCAAAGTGAAAGAGTTAAGGCCTGGGGAGATGCTGCTAGGGATACTGACAGATAGAGCACTGAATGTAGTTGAAAGACTTTAAAAGAAGATTTTAAAAGAACGGGGGACCTAAGCCACAGCAATTTCACTGTATTTGCTAAAGAGCACTTTCCACCAGTGTGTTTGAACTACCGCTTTATTTCATCCCATGATCATCATCTGTTGCTATTTGACCTTTTAATTAATTTCATTTTAGATCTTTAATTTGAACAATGAAGCAAATTTTTTTCATATCTCCAAACCCTAGGAAAGGGTCCCAAAGCCATGAAATGTTCTGTGACTTCATCATTTTGTAATTCGATAATTTTTTCATATAATTCTTCCTTTTACAGATATGCAAATTGAGAAGACCTAGAGAAAGCAGGCAAAGCTTTTTTCCTCTGTGGTGAAGGTTTCACAGCTCAGATATTCTGTGTTCTGTCTGTTAAGGGGATATTAATTTTTTTATTTTATTCTGTAATGGCAATCTTCTTCCATATTGTTGTAATTCAGGAAAAACTGCAATGAAGTTAATAGAACTATTATAGCATAAAAAGTCCTTGGATTCAGGCTCCTGTATATGTGACTAGGTATGGAGGTATTTATTTAAATACCCACTTTTCTGCTTTCTCAAGTTTATGCACTTTCAAAGACCCATTTCATTAAAAATATCTTTAAGGTAAAGCACTTTAGGTCTATGACCATCATGAATTTCACAGCTAGTTCTTGAATAGGCCATCTTCTGGGCTCCCCCCCCCCCCCGCC